TGCATGCCTAACATATCCCAGACACCGCGTTGAGTGCTTGAAGTACGTTATGTCATTTAACCCCGAGAACAACTTTTATTTTTGAGACAGAGTCTCACTCTGTGTCCTGGGCTACAGTGCCATGGTGTCAGCTCAGCTCACGGCAACCTCAAACTCCTGGGCTCAGGCAATCCTCCTGTGCCTCAGCCTCCAGAGTAGCTGAGACTACAGGCATGTGCCACCATGTCTGGATAATTTTTTCTATATATTTTTAGTTGGCCAATTAATTTCTTTCTATTTCTAGTAGAGACGGGGTCTCGCTCAGGCTGGTTTCTAACTCCCAACCTTGAGTGATCCACCTGCCTCGGCCTCCCAGAATGCTAGAATTATAGGCGTGAGCCACCGCACCCAGTCAGAACAACATTATTAACTAAGTGCATTTATTTACCTCCTCTTCCCTTTTTTTCCGGATAAAAACACTGTCCTATAGCTGTAAATGGGAGAGGGGAACCTGAACTGTGTCTGCCGGACTCCCCAGCCTGTGCCCGCACCCACTGAGCTGTCCCCTCTCCTTGCCTATAAGAAGCATATGTTTATAGCTGGGCTAAAAAATTCTTTACCTTATTCTGCATACTTAGTGAAAAACTATAAAATAAAAAAAAAAAGCAGTTCCTATTCAGGAACTAATTAATTCATTTAATTAGTTTAGCATTTCCTAAGTACCCAGTGTCATGCTAAGAATTTCTAAATACTAACTCAATTAATTAATAATTTTAATATCTTTAAAATATTAAGGGGAAAAGTATTTTATGATTGCTTTTCCTCCTTTTTTTTCTTAACCTAATTCTCTAATACTTTAATGAAATTATAGGTAGACAAGTGTGGGGGTTTGAGATTTTTAGTGTGACATTGTTGATTGGATGTATTTATGCCTTTAATATTTGATGGTCTTGGTGAATGTCTAAGATTATTTTTTTGTTTCCTTTTTTTTAGTTTGTGGGAGATATCTGAAAGCCACTTCAAGTACCCAATTGTGGAGCAATACTTGAAGACAAAGAAAACCTCTAATAACTTAATCATCAAGTACATTAGCTGCCGGCTGCTGACACTCGTCATTGTACTATTGGCATGTGTCTACCTGGGCTATTACTTCAGCCTCTCCTCGCTCTCGGACGAATTTGTCTGCAGCATCAAATCAGGGATCCTGAAAAACGACAGCACCGTCCCTGATCAGTTTCAGTGCAAGCTCATCGCCGTGGGCATCTTCCAGTTGCTCAGCTTCATTAACCTCGTGGTGTATGTGCTGCTGGTTCCTGTGGTTGTCTACACGCTGTTCGTTCCATTCAGGCAGAAGACAGACGTCCTCAAAGTATACGAAATCCTGCCCACTTTCGATGTTCTGCATTTCAAGTCCGAAGGGTACAACGACTTGAGCCTCTACCATCTTTTCATGGAGGAGAATATAAGTGAGCTCAAGTCCTACAAGTGTCTCAAGGTACTGGAGAATATTAAAAGCAGTGGTCAGGGCATCGACCCACTGCTACTCCTGACTAACCTTGGCATGATCAAGATGGATATTGTGGATGGCAAAACTCCCATGTCTGCGGAGACGGTGGGAGAGGAGCAGGGGGACCAGATGACAGAGCTCAAAGGTAGGGTTAGCTCTACAGGGCAGAGGCCACGGGACCCCACGTTGGCGCCTTTGCAGCGGCCTTTTAGGAATACTGACAGTCTTTTCCCTGCCCATCATTTAAACTATTTTCCAAGCATGGCCTCAGGTAGAACCCCTCAGTATGGGGGGGGAGACAGGGAATGAATTGCTGTTGCCCCAAATTTCCAAAGAAGGAAAACATCTTTGCTTTTCCTGGCGGTTTTCTCTTCTGTCCCTTGCTCTGTCTCATATGCTGCTGCTTACTCCTCCCTGTTATCTCGCTTTCTTGTCTTCCTGGCTTTTCTCTCTGTGCCTCTGATCTCCTGGCCTGTTCTCTGACTTTTGAAAGAGACTAGAAGGTTGTTTGTTTAATGATTGTCTTGACCTAACCTTGCTGTGCTCTGAAGTTAGGCTAAGAAGCAAAATGTGGTGTAAAGCAAAGAATACGAGATAGATTTTTAGCAGAAAAGACGTTGGTTAGCACTGATAGTTCCTGCCACGCTTCTGTCATAAATAATTTGTTTTCAATTTTGGCAGGTCTGAACATACCGAGTGAAACTATAGCAAATAATGGAGCGACGAATGCACGGCAGAGACTTCTGGATTCTTCTTGCTGATGATTTTTTTTTTTCCTTGAACTTCAAATCTGTGACTTCTGCAACATGGGATTCACTTTGGCTAAAGCATAAAGGACCTCCCTGTTGGGGTCACAGCTGATTTGCAGTAAATGGTTCTCGGTAGAGAGACGAAGCATGTCTTGATGAGTCCCTAACGAAAAGTGTTATGGAAGAACGTCCATAGTGTTATGGACATTCCAAGTGTTACGGCTTATGGACGTCCCAGAGGACGGGACTTGGAGATAGGTAACCCGTAGCAAGCAGGTGTGTGTAAGTCCTCATCACATGAAAAGTGGAGAGACCAGGATGAGTAGTCAAGAGAAGTAGCCCTTTTGAGAGCCTCGGAGAAACATCTTGCTGGACCCACGGTGCGATGAGACCCAGGGCTGCTAGAGAGCAAGCACTTTGGGAGATTTGTTTTGTTTTACAAAATAATAAGTACAACAGGACATAATTTAACATCAATCTCTTATGTGCACTTAATGACTGTTAGATGAGAAAAGTATTCACCGGCTAACTAATGGCCCACAGGTCGACCTGTTCTTGCCTGTGTCCTAAATTGGGTGTAAATCTGGTGCCTTGGCTCTTGCACACTCAAGCTCTCTTTACACTTACCTGTCAGCTTGGCTACTGGAGGTCCCGTCACCACTGTTTGTTGCACTCCGCCCATGCTCTGCTCTGACCGAAAACTTAGTTAAGGAGATGGAATATCAAGGATGTTCACAGCGGCTTCAATTCAGGAAAGAATGCTTCAAAAAGAGCCCAGCGGAGAGATCTGAACTGACAGAAGTTAATTTAGTCACTTTCAAAGAGGCGTCTACAGGGCGTTCCCCTGTTATCAAAGGCATTTCAAGCAGGATTTTAGTTCAACGCATTAATGGAACACAGGAATATTTAAAGTAAAGGACACTTTGCCTGATATGATAGAGCACATGAGTGACATTGGTGTGCTCCATCCATATGGTGTGCTTGGCGCCAGAACAACTGAGAAGTTTATTCTGTTTACATTTAAGCACAGCTTTAAAAATTCATTTTAATTTATATATAGTGTTAGGATTTAGGCCGTTTGTGAAAACCATTCTAGCATTAATGGAGAATTATAGAATAAAGGTTACAAATGGATGGATAAGACAGTGCGAGCATCATTTCACAAACGTTTAAGACTGACGCAGACTATATGAAAAACTGTTCCCAGTTCTAACCATGTAAATTGATCTGTGTTCGTGTTTTTTACAGAAAAAAAAAAATCTTTAACATCTGTGGACATTCCCATTTTTATTCTTAGCAAGTTAACACATAGTTTAAGTGAGTCATCCTCAGGAACCACAAAGTTTACTTTTGACTCTTAGGGACAGTTGTTTACCTAATCAAATTACTGTTTTGTGACGGACAGAAATTATATAAGCTGCTGTCTGCCTTTCAGAATTTTGAGAAAAGCAGATTTTATTTGTGCTTCTGTGACAGTTTCTGAAAGCTAGTGATAAATATCAAGGTTGCAATCAGTGCTTTCAATTACTTTCTATTCCATGACATTTATTACTGTTGAATTATAGTGTGACTTAGAAATGGCGGTAACCAAATGATTGATTTTGCTACAATTTTTATACCACTGTTTCTGAGATAGTCCATCACAATTCTCTACACTGGTTTCTTTTGAAAATTTGCAAAGATGTATGAAATATATTTTTGTAGAATATGACTTTTTTTCCAAAAAGCTCCTTCTTCCCTGTAGACTGCCCCTAATTTGTATTTTGAAGTGGTAGAAATGGATATTTTATTTTAGGAGGCCAGGAACTCTCTAAGCCTCACCACATGTAATCCTTTTATCAAGAGTTTGTATAATTGGGGTCTTGGAGCTCACTAAGCTCCAGGAGGGTCTGTGATGTCCCAGACGCCAGGAACAGGCTGGGTGTGCAGATATGAATAGGCAAGAGTAAAAGCAGCAGAGACAAAGGCAAGGAGGAGGAGGAGAAGGCATAGCCACAATAAAGGCTCTGCCAGAAAACTCCTAGCAAATGCTGTATGTTCTTGGGAGACACAGTATTTTCTTCTCTCTCCCATAGTTTCTGTAACAGCTGGTTTTGAGTCTAGTTATAACTTTTTCCCAGAGGCAGATACCCTCTTAAGGTACTTTAGCCACATACCCTGTAGGCAGAAGTTTGGGCAAAACACTAATAGTGATCTTGAACAGTAAGGGCTCTACTTGCCTTTGAGTCTTCCCTTGCAGGGAATGGGGAGAACAAGCCTGGGGAGGTGGCGGATGAGTGGCAGTCGTGGCTCCAAAGGGCTAGTATGGATGTCTGGTGATGCTTTCGAGCTTGGGAAAAAGTATTATTAGGAAAGTTAACTCATTAGATAGATCTTTAGATAGATCCTAAATGACCACTCTAGGGTAACTTTCTAGCTCATGTCTCTCTAGTAAACCACTGTGAGGCTGCTGAACCAGACTCGTAGCAAGAGTGTCGCAGCTAGAAATGACACAGGTCGTTGTGAAAGCAGTGTTCACACCTTTAATTTTACCAGGGGACAGGCAGAGACCTCTAATGCCTAGGTCCCTAAACTGTGAGGGGTTACAAACCCCCTTGCAAATAGTTTTAAAGCTGTGGCCCCTCTGCTCAGATATACCCACATTTTAAATGCACCTGCAGCGGCCATGGTAGTCTGTGCGTGAGAGGCTGAGAAGCCGTGCCCTAGAACGGCAAGCCGGCAAGCCACGCGGCACAGAGCGGGGCTCCCTTTGCCCTTGAGAAGCGACTTCTTCCAGCAATAAGACTCGGCCGTCTGTTTGCTTTAGTTGAGTCATGTTTGCATACTTTTGAGTGAACTGTACCTTTTGAGTAACTGCCTTCATGTTCTAGAGTGAGACTGAGCAAGGTCAGTCAAAGTCCGAGTGGCAGCAGCAGGCCTGGGATGACCAGGCAGCCTATGTGGACGGCTGTTTTCTCCCCGGCCACAAGGCGTGGTCTTGCAGATTCAAGTAATTGTCTTGGTCTTGCAGATTCAAGTAATTGTCTCTGCTCAGCATGTCTGGAATATGGGGAGGGTGGGCGTAATACTTAGAAAATGCTTTGTCCTGCTTTACAGCTGTGCTGTGAGAAAGCTAGAAACTTCCATCTGCATGGCGGGTCTGGTTTGCATGAATATGTTTCGCTGGAGGAAGCTACGTGTCCACTGCGGCCTTTGTGCTGTGAGAATTAGGTCAGCCGTGAGAGGTGGATCCTTAGACACCTTTTAAAATGTGTCCATGTTTGGCTTATTTTGCTTATTGTCAGTCCGGGGTCCATTAAACATCTCTGAAGGTAGGAGTTTTTCTCTACTGCTGTAGCACAAGCTCCTAAAACAGTGACTGGTGTAGACTGGGCATTCTGTAAATATTTGTCCAGCGAATCAACAAATTGTTAGGATAAATCCTAGTTTGTTGGCAACTTTGATTTGATTTTTAAAGGATAGATGGTTCCCCTGCAAGAGAAGGCGATGGGAGGCCCATTTGGCCCCTTGGTAAAGAGAGGAATATTTCCGCAAATAAATAGGTTTCCACGTTAAGTAGTGACTGTCCTTAAGCCTTTTATTGTGGAGCAAGTCGTGACCACTTTCTAAGTGCAGTCCAAGTTCAATGTTGACTCGCAGTCATTAGGGAAATTGAGGTTTTGAAGGTCCTGGTCTCAGCAATTCCCCAGAATAAGCCTCTTGAAAGGGGATGTTGATTGAAATGTGCAATTACCAGTAATTGAGGTTTTTATCTGAGGGCACCAAGATGAAATGGCTCCTTCTGAGCAATCATTGACATTTTGTCCCTATTTTCACAAGTAAAGTTGAGACCTTTAAAAAGATTGACAAAGATGATACTGTGTCTTATGTGGAATATAATAGATATTAATTTGTGATTGGTTTTCTTGCCTGCTTTAAATGAAATGTATTGTGTTTCTGTGTTCCCCTTTTAGCTGTAAAAATACTTTGTCACCAAAGCATGCGGTTTAATCAGTAATTGTTCCGCAAGTTCCTGAAAATTATGAACGTTCCTTATGCCTTGAGTGCTTTTTTCCCTGCCCACCAGAGGAGAAAAATCCTTGCAGAATTCTACAGGGTTACAAATGTTCCTTACAAAAACTGAAGCCATCAGCTCCTCTTTAAAACAAGTTGGCTTTTTAAAAGCACCATAATTACAATTTAATGGTATTCTGTAAAGTGGTGCTTTAGGCATAATTTAAATTCTTTTTAATGACTAAATTTCTACAAAACTTTTAAAGAAACACGTGTATTCTTTTTGCTGTCATTGTAAGAATGCTGCCAAGGGATGAAGAATAACTTTAAAAGTTAAGACCATCTTGGTTTCATTTCCACAAAGATCTGAAGATGAGGACGAATCATAGTGTTCGAAATGATCCTTAAAAAGATACAAGAATCTTGAAAGCTTTGCATGTTGGTGGTCATCATTATTGTGTTTTAAATTTCCATGAAAGTAAGTCACTTAGGCAAGGTCTGCATTCTGACCATGCTGACTTTTTTTTAACAGAGGAGTGAAAGGCTAAAGATCAAGGCTACAATGTCCATAGGTAAAGGTGAAGCAGTGTTTTAGTTCTGCACTGTTTGTATCCACCTAAATAAAACTTCTTTGAGTAATGAAAAATGTCTTAATATTTCTTGCCTTCCCTTTAGGGAGAGTCATTTCATGGAAGATGTAACAGGAGATGAGTCGTGAATCGTCTTGAGGCTCATTTCTCTCTGCTGGATACAGAAAATGCAGCAGACTCCGTTACTACTTTCTAAAATCCAGCTGGCAGTAACTAGAAGAAGAAAGTCCTTGATTAAGGGCCCACAGATTCTAGAATTTCTAAAGCAGAAATCACATGCTTTCCGATTGAGTATTGTTTGCCTGGGCTTGGGAAAGAAGGAGTAGGGGTCATGTGCTCTAAGCGTGGGTTGGCCTGTCCAGCTCTCTCAAGAGGAGGACTCCTTTGTACAGTGGTCAGTTAGTGCAGTTTACTGTTGTGGGTAATCGGAGCCATGCAAAATCTTAGTATACAGTGCCTGGTATATAGTAAGTACTCCGTAAGTGCCAGCTTCAATTATCGTCACCAACTCTTGCTCACCAGCTATGCCCCATGATGGCAGGCACGCCCACAGGAACCTTGGATGTTGCTCCATAACAAATCACTGCAAACTTAGCAGCTTAAAGTAATACACATTTATCATCTCAGAGTTTTCTGGGTCAGGAGTCTGGACAAGCTTAGCTAGGTCCTCTGCTCAGAGTCTCACAACGCAGCAACTAAGTTGTGGATGGGTTGTGTTCTCATCTGGAAGCTTGACTGGGGAAGGAGCTGCTTCCAAGCTGCCTCAGGTTGTTGGTAGAATTCCATTTTTTAAGAAAATCTTTTTTCTTTTTAGAGACTGGGTCTGGCTATGTCACCTAGGCTAGAGGGCAGTAGTATGATCATAGCTCACTGCAACCTCAAACTCCTGGGCTCAAATGATCCTCCTGCCTCAGCCTCCTAAGTAGCTAGCACTACAGGCACACACCATCATGCCTGGCTAATTTCTTAAAGACTTCTTTTGTGGAGATGGGGGTCTCCCTCTGTTGCTCAGGCTGGCCTTGAACTCCTGGGCTCAAGTAATCAATCCTCCTTCCTCAACTTCCCAAAGTGCTGGAATTCTAGTCATGAGCCATCACACCTGGTCTAGAAGTCTTTATTAACTCAGAAACAACTGATTTGGGACCTTAATCACATCTGCAAAATCCCACCACCTATATGATGTACCCTATTCTTTTGGCTGGAATGATGTCACAGGTCCTGCCCACACTGCACGGCGGGTGGGGGGGATATCACGGGGGCACCTTAGGCTTTGTCTGCCACAGAAGTTATCCTGAGTCCCAGCCTGTCTGTCTGGGAGACATGCAGCTCTACCACCTCGACATTCTGAGGCCTCTGTCTGTGCCCAGTGCTGTCATTCAGGCCCTTGTCTCCTGCATCCCTATGGTAGACCCACTGTGTCTAACCCATCTGCCACATCCCTGTCCTTGGGCTTTTTAGAATGCAAATACGATGATGTCAACCCACCCTACCACCCCACCACCACCACTTTAAATCCCTCAAGACTCTCCCTGGATTTTGATAAAAAACTGATTTAGACATACCCACCCCACTCCCTCACCCCCGTCCCCAGTGCCTCCAACCCGCTTCAGGATCATTGTGCCACCCCCCTCTCTGATGCAGCCACCTGCACCGTTCCTGAAAGGCTTCTCTGCTTCTCAGATATACTTCTTTGTCCCCACTGCCCTCCACCTTCTATTCAGAAATCAGATCCAGCATCCCCTGTAGGAGGCTCCCGTGAGCTGCCTGCCCTGATTTAGATGGCCCTCCTGTGCTTGACATTGCCCACTGCTTCGGTGCTTGGCACTCTGCACTGTCCTCGTGGACCTGTCTGTCTCCCCCAGCCTGGGAGGCCCTTGAGGCAGGGTGGCACCATCCTCTCCCTGTACTCCCGGCACCTGGCACACAGCCCAGTGTCTGTACGTGGAGGGATTTATCCCCTCGTGCCCTTGTGAATGCCCTCTGAGAATGTCCAGTGTGGATGAGAGCATCAGATTAGAAGTGAACTCTCCCCTAGGCCGATAATCCATCACCACCACCTCTCCCATTTTGCCCAATTCAAGTTGGCCAAGTACAACTCCATTTCCTTTTCCCATTTTAATGATTGAGAGCTTAAGTGGGGGAGGGCCTTTCTGAAACACTATACCTGAGGAACTTTCCTCCTCGCTGTGTTTGCCCATCTCCATCCATGCTAATTTACACCTGAGTAGTCTGGTTTCCTTTTCTAAGGGTTCTAACATACACCATCTAACTTGAACCCCACAGTTGTGTGTGCTGTTGATATGAGATACTGATGCCATTATGGTAAGAAGAGTGACACCTTTTTTGTTCACAATTTGTGTGCACCCAGAAAACAGGCTTATTCTATGATGTTTTTCCTCACCCTAGACGCAGGGGTTAGGGCAGGGGAAGAGAGAGAGAAGCTGAGCTGAGGCTGTGACCTGTGCCCTTCCTGATAAAACCAAATTACAGTAATACAGTGCAGAATTGAGAGAATTTGCTGATTCAAATCCCACCTCTTCCCCCCTCAAACACAGTCAGTGATCTGAGTTCCCCTCCTTGCAAGGGGAGCAGGAGAAGGAAAGAATGCTCCTTTGTGGTACCCTAGAGACTGGGCAGAGCCCTCACGAGGGAGAGGCAAGTCAAGCACGTGAATGCAGGACAATCAAAGCATGTCCTCTGAAAGCCTGTTCCAATGTTTCAATGTGCCTTTTTCTCAGATGCAAGGAGGTGAAAAAAACAAAAGAAACTGAAGAGCTATAAAAAAAATCTCTTCCAAATCCCCAGGAATGAAATTTGCATTACCTCAGGAAGCAAAGAGTCCAGTAATAGAACCCAAGTTTTCATGGAAATTTCAGGAATGTAAAAGGAAATGTTCTGAGGGTAATTTCAGAGGTAAAGAGACCCATAAAGATTTTAACATTTGTCTCATTTGTTTGTTTCTGAGAATCAACACTGTCTGTTATGCAGGAAGCATTGTTAAGTACAATGGCCCTCAAGGTTCCTTTCCCCTCTTTCCAAGTACCCCTGGAGATAAGGGAAGCTTCATTTAAGAAAAAAGAAATTGCCCAAAACTGTTGCTGCCCAACCGGTTTCATTTGCCCGCTGCACAGAGAAGAGCCAATGCATTGAGACAGGGCTGCAGTGGAGAAAGTTTTATTCCTCATGGCGCTACTTGGGGAGACGGGAAAAAAATTCTCAAATCCGTCTCCCCGAGAATTTGGGAGATGAGGTTTTTAAGGATAGTTTGGCAGGCAAGGGATTAGGCAGTTATGTTTGTTAATTGGGGCAAAAGTATAGGGGTGTAGGAATTGTCTTCTTGTGTTGTTTCAGTCCCTGCAGTCACAATTCCAACTGAGTCGATTCCTTGGTCTGGCCCCTGGTCTGGTAGGTCAACCAATACACTGGAATGTGGGGCCTGGAAAATATCTTGAAACTACCTTTAGATTTCAAAAAGGTGATGTTATCTATGGAGAAAGCTAAGAATCTTTATGGACACCAGCCATGTGGCTCTGGCATGGCAATTTTAGAGAAGCAGACAGGGGGACAGCGACTAATTATCATCGTTATTTTTAGCTAGGCCTTTACCGTAGTTCTCGCCTCACACCCTGTGTATTGATTTGTGTAAAAGGTTGTTTCAAAACTATGTCTGAGGCACAATGGAGCAGAAAAAATGAGTAAGCATTACAACGAATAAAAATAGTCTGGACAGGCCGGGCGAGGTGGCTCACGCCTGTAATCCTAGCACTCTGGGAGGCGGAGGTGGGCAGATTGCTCGAGGTCAGGAGTTCAAAACCAGCCTGAGCAAGAGCGAGACCCCATCTCTACTATAAATAGAAAGAAATTAATTGGCCAACTAATATATATAGAAAAAAACTTAGCCGGGCATGGTGGCACATGCCTGTAGTCCCAGCTACTCGGGAGGCTGAGGCAGCAGGATTGCTTGAGCCCAGGAGTTTGAGGTTGTTGTGAGCTAGGCTGAAGCCACGGCACTCACTCTAGCCTGGGCAACAAAGCGAGACTCTGCCTCAAAAAAAAAAAAAAAAAAAAGAATAGTCTGGACAGTTTCTCTAACAGAATATGATGAGGGACACATAAGTAATTTAAAATTTTCTAGTAGCCACATAAAAAAATAAAATAAGTGAAATTAATATTAATTATTTTAACTAATGTAATATGGCAAAATAGTTCAACATGTATGCAATATAAAATACTGAAATTTTTTTTATTCTAAATTTTTGAAATTCAATGTGTATTTTATACTTACAGCACATCTTATTCAGACTAGCCTCATTTAAAGTACTCAACAGCCACATGTAGCCAGTGGCTACCATACTGGACAAATCAGGTCAAAACAAACTGTTTTACACACGTCTGCTCCCACCCAATAACATACTGTTTACTGCCTCTGTGTCTTTGCCAATCCCTCTTTCTTTTGGTCTAGTATTCTCTTCCCTTGCGGTCTCCTTCCTTTCTGAAAGATTTGTTCCTCTAAGCAGATTTAATTAACTGGGTGCATATTATGCTATCTTGAAACTCA